ACTGATCACATTAGCTCGTTCATTGTCCCCTCTCCAAAGGAAGGCTACCACCCTGGATCTAAGCGCTTGAAAAACAGTCTTGCTCAATGGCCAGAGCACCGACTTATACCACAACATGCTGAACACTACATTATTAATGGTTAGCGCCCGGCCAAAGATGGAAGTATATTTGTTACGCCAGTCAGACAACTTGGCTAGCTGGTGCCGAGATCTAGTCGTCATTTGAGGGAGGGCGACCCTGGGCCGTCAATGATACCCCTAGAACTCGGACAAGGGTCTGCAAGGGGAACGAGTGTATGTTGGGGGAGTCGGGCGGTCGGCCGCCTTGATAGTGGATCCACCACCCCTAGGTTTTACTCCCTTAATTCACCACCATGTCAGATACATGGGCAAATTTGTTCATTAGATGTCGAATCTCTTGTGTGGCATTCACTATGATGGTGAGATCGTCTGCGAATAGCGAGCATATGGGGACTGCATCCTCAGGGATTCGTGAAATCTGGATTTTTTTAATGTTCTTATTAACCTGGAGGTTAGCCGATAAAGCTTCTATAATAATGAGAAATAGGAAGGGCGCTATAGAGTCACCTTGGCGTACCGACCATTCCGACTTCATCGGGGGGGCCAGGGTCCGTTTTATTTGCACCCTCGTGGTGACATTTTGGTGAAGAATATGTATTCATCTACGGAAGAGCGGCCCAAAGTTTATTTTTTCCAGGCTTGCGTCTAGAAAGAGCAAGTCAACATGATCGTAGGCTTTCTCAAATCAATAAAAATGAGGGCTACATTCTGCTTAGATTGTCGGAATAGTTGCAGCACATGAGCTGCACCTCATTAACCAGCAAGATATTTTCATGAATTTGTTTGTGTTGCATGAGCGCTGCCTGTGATGGATGCATCACCCCCTCTAGGACTGGGATCATTCTATTTGCTAGAGCCTTGACAAGCATTTTATAAGTAACGGTCAGGGGGGTAACAGGTCTATAGTTTCGTATGTTGAACTTGTTCCCTTTTTTATATAAAAGGGACAGTACCCCTTGGCCGACTAGCTCCCCCATGTCCCCTATACCTCATTATAATACTGAGTCTCCATAAGATCAAGGTTCATACAATCCCACATAATTTTCCAAAACTCCTTCGGCAGGTCATCCAACTCAGGGTTTTTTTCCTCATCCATCTGTAGGAAGGTCGTCCAAATCTCTTCCTTGGTTAGGGGAGCCTCGAGCCGCTCCTTCTGTTCAGGGGAGAAAGATCTGTCAATAGGTCGAAGAAAGTCGTCAACTTGTTTCCAACGGGTCTCCTCCTTTGTAACGGGTTGCGTGACACCCCAGGCCGCGGATCCTGTGGCCAAGGAGGTCGACCACGGGCCCACGGCCGAGGCCGAGCGACCGAGTTTCCGTGCGATCGCCCCAATCCCAGGAGGGGGCGCGCGTGGGAAAACGGCGCGTGCGCGCGGCCGTCGCATGTTGGCCTCTATGACCCTGTAATAAATTAAAAATTAAAAATTAAAATTTTAAAAATTGGGGGGAGGGGGGGTTGATATGTGAGAAAAATAAATAAATAAATAGAAAAAAAATAAATATTGATTGATTGATAGTTTTTTTGCTATGTAGCATCGTGTTCGGGTTCGGTGACCGAACCCGAACGTTCGGGACCGAACGCGAACGAGCGCCGAAACTCTCCGAACGCGAACATAAAAAAAATTATAAAAAAAAAAAAACAAATTCTCCACAAAATCTGAAAAACATATATGTTATGTAAAATAATAATACAAACAACTTTTGTCAGAGAGGTATGGTCAAATTCGTAACCAAACTCGAGTTGAAAATCAAAGACCATTTTTTTTTTTTTTTTTTTAATATGTTCAGCCGAACACGTTCGGGTGACGTTCGGCTGAACGCCCGAACATGTTCGGTGTGCTACTTAGTTATTTTTATTGATTGAATGATTGATTAATTGATTGATTGACTGATTGATTGACTGATTGGTTGATTGATTGATTGATTGATAGATTGATTGGTGGGGGAGTGGTCCTCCCTCCCCTCCCCGGACTCCCTCCGGCACACACACACACACACACCGTGACACACGCCGCAGAACGCATGTACACACACACACACGCACACGCACACACACACACACACACACACACACACACACACACACACACACACACACACACAATCAATCAATCAATCAAATCAATCAACCAACCAAACCAATCAATATTGGTTTGATTGATTGGTTTGGTTGATTGATTGATATGATTAATTTGATTGATTGATTGATTGATTGATTGATTGATTGATTGATTGATTGATTGATTGGCGCTCTCTCTCTCTCTCTCTGAAAAA